TCTTTCCTGCCTTTTACTATAGTGTTTTGTATTTTTATGTCCTTTCTTCATCCAGGAGAACCCTGTCTCCCAACAAAATCAGCACATTTTTATTCAGTTAAATGATATCGTTTCAGAATTGCTTTGCCTATACTACTAGAGAAAAGAAACCTGCTAAAAATAAGTTTTATTCGCTGGGGATTTAGCTCAGTGGTTCCTCTGCCTGCCTTGTAAGCGCAAGGTCCCAAGTTGGATCCCTGGTACCAAAAACAAAACAAAACAAACAAAAAAATTTTCTTTGCAATTCTTCCTACACCCTCCACCAGCTTTCCCAAGACTGAATGTATATATAGTGAAATATTGTTTCTAAATTACAGGGATTGTTTTCTTGTTTCTATGTTTGTTCCTGTCGTATGGTTTTGGTAGTCAAATGAAACACAAGTGGGTTCATTTGTTTCTGTTTCTTTCCTGTATTACCAGTTTCCCCTTGCTCATCCTTATTGATTTAATCTTGCTCTTTGAATATGCAGGACATCATCAGGTTTCCATAAGTAAAAAAAAAAAAATACAAAAAGCTATACTCAAGCGGGGGATTTAGCTCACTAGTTCCTCCACCTAGCTCGCAAAGCACAAGGTCCCGAGTTCAATCCCCGGAACCAAAAAAAAAAAAAAAAAGGACAAAAAGCTATATTCAACTGTGTTTCTTCCCTCTCCCCTTTTAAGTAGCGGTTGTTTTCTGGGACTACTTTAAAGATAGGAAGATGTTGGGCCGGGGATTTAGCTCAGTGGTTTCGCCGCCTGCTGCGCAAGTGCAAGGACCTGAGTTAGATCCCCGGTACCAAAAAAAAAATAAAATAAAATAAAGATAGGAAGATGTGTTTTCTTTCTTACACATAACTTAGCATAGTACTCCATTGTATATGTGCCTTAGTTTACTTAACTAGTCTTCTATGCTTGGGCATTTAGGTAGGTCTCCAGATTTTGCAGTTATAAATAATGCTATAATGAATATCTTTTGTGTATTTTTGCAAGTATATCTTACATATAAATTTCTAGAAGAGGTATTTCTGGATTGAAGAGAAAAACATGTATTTTTGTTAGATAGCAGCAAATTCTCTACCATGAGGAGATTGTGCCAGTTTGCATTCCCAACAATATATGAACATACTTATTTCCTCCAAAGCCTCATCAACAGAGTATACTGTTGTCAAGTTTTGAATATTTGCCAAGGTGACAAATGAGAAATGGACCTTATTATACTTTATATTTTTCATTAGTGAAGTTGAATGTCTTTTCACATGTTTAATATTTCTTTTTGTGAATTGTCCATGTCTTTTGCTTGTTTTTCTATGGGATGTTTAGTCTTTATTTCCCTTTAGTGTTTGAAAATTTTTTTATTTATGTTTATTGGGTTATTTATTTATTTATTTGTTGCAGTACTGAGATTGAACTCAGGGCCTTAGCACTGAGCTACATCTCTGGGCCTTTTTAAAAAAATTTTTTGAGACAGGGTCTCTTTAGGTTACCCAGTCTAGGCTTGGATTTATGATCTTCTTGCCTTGGGCTCCCAGAGTACTGGGATTACAGGTGTGTGCCAACCTGTCCAGCTCGAAAATTCTTTATATCATTAAGAATATTGTCCTTTTATTTATTTCCATATCAGGAGTATATCTCAGAATATGCAATGTAAATATTTTTTCCACTTTGTCATTTATTTGTTTATGGTATTTTTACCATAAAATTTTATTTTTATACACTTAAACATTAGTCTTTTATTGCATCTGGATTGTAGCTAGAAAGCTTTCTCTATACCCAGGCTATGGAGGTATTTACCTGTATTCTCTTTGAGTATTTGTATAACTTTATTATTATTATTATTTAGAGCCCTGTTCCACTTGAAGTTTATTTTTGTGTTTGATGTGAAGAATGGATCTAATTTTAACTTTTTCTGTATAGCTTTTAGTAGTTGCAACACTGTTAAAATAAAGACTGGCTTTATTGACTCCCTCAATAATTTGAAACACCATCTTTATCATTTTTTTCTATGGGTAGTGAGGACTTGCCAAACTTTTCTATTTCATGTCTGTGTATATACTACTACCACACTGTTTTTTATATAGTACATTTTCGTATCTATTATAGCTAATCTCCCCTCATAGCTCTTCCTTTGCTTTTTTCTCTAGCAGTTTTTGAATGTTTATTTAAAGAGATTAGTTTTAGGATTATGTGAACTTGAACATCTTTTTGTCCTGTGAGTCCAAGGTGAGTAGAGGTAAAGGGGCCAAGATAGAAAAGGAAATGGATGGAGCAGGGCCCCAGTGTGTGTGGGAACAGCATTCAGAGTGCATTTACATTTCATTTCATTTCATTTCATTTCATTTCATTTCATTTCATTTCATCTATTTTATTTTATTTGTTTTTTTGGAGACAGTATCTTGCTATATAGTCCAGGCTGGCTTGAACTCATGGTGATTCCCCTCTCTAAGCTTCCTGTGTGTTGGGATTATAGGCATGTGCCACCATAACTGGCTACATTTAACTTTTATATCAGTGTGTTGCTGCTAATAGTTCTAGAGTTCCACTACCCACCCAGAAGCTCTCATTTCAGTAGACTGCCCAAACTAATAAAAGGAGGCAGAGAGGTAGGCCATGCTCCTATTCCTCAGTGATCTCTGATAATTTTGTAATATTTAATTATTTAAGTCATTTTGTGATATTTTCTCAGCTGAACCACTTTTTTGGTAGTCACTTAATATCTACTGAATGACTATTTGATCTTCCTGACAGTTTCCTGAGCTCTAGCTTCTCCTGTGCTGTTATTTTAATTTGGAGTACATTGTTCCTATAAACTTAAGTTGGATCATTTTGTGTGCTTTTTAAAATACATATCTACTCCAAAATATGTATTATACTTTGTTTTTAATTTGCTGTTTCTTGCTCACATGTTTGCATATAAAGTTTTCTGAAGAAGATTAACAGAATTTCAGAGTATTGATCCAAGAGCATCTGATAGCCAGGGGTAAGAGGAGATCAAAATTTTAAGTCAGTCTACTCAAAAATGTTTCATTGTCTAAGGTTTGGGGGTAGCTAACTTAGAACAGTTTCTTTTTGTCTCAGGAGTCAGTTTGTCCATGGGGAAATGATGATGGAGTATCAGTCATGTGTAGAATATCTTCACAGGATCAGAGAGTCCCTGCCTGGAGCCTAAAATCTGCTCTAGAAAGCCATGTGATTTCCTGAATCATGTATTTTATCCCTAAATTTCAACTGTGATCCAATAACCTTATCTTATTTTCTTAATTCTAATACTATAGTAAATAATAAATTTAATAAGTAGCATGCAGTAAGATACAGGCATTGTTGTCAGTGCTTTTACATGTGTTATCATATAATAGTCAACAATCCCGTTGCTTTCATTTTACAGATGGGGAAAGGAGTGCACAGAAAGATTAAATAAATTTCCCAGGGTCATACAGCTCAGTATTTGAAGTTAGGCAATATTCTAGTTATTCCTTGGTATCCACGGAGATTGGTTCCAGGACCCTACAGATAACAAAATCTGCTAATGGTCAAGTTCCTTATATAAAATGGCATCATATTTGCATATAACCTATGCATATCCTTTTGTTTGTTTGTTTTTTGGGTTTTTTTGGTACCAGGGATCGAACTCAGGACCTTGAGCTTGCAAGGAAGGCGGAAGAACCAATGAGCTAAATCCCTGGCCCATGCATATCCTTTTGTATTCTTTTTTGTTTTGTTTTTTTGTGGGTTTTTTTGGTACCAGGGATCGAACTCCGGTCCTTGCACTTGCGCAGCAGGCAGTGAAACCACAGAGCTAAATCCCCAGCCCTCCTTTTGTATTCTTTAAATAATCTCTAGATTACATATAATGCCCCAAACAGTATAAATGCTGTGTAAATCTTTGTTATACTGCATTGTTTAAGGCATAACAACAAGGAAGAAGCCTGTATATGTTGAGTACAGGTGGAATTTTGTTTTTCTGAGTATTTTGCATCCATGGTTAGCTGCTTTTATGAGGATGCAGAATCTGTATATACAGAGGGCCAGCTGTACTTCCTTTGCTTAATGGTTTGTGTCTGTAATGTGCTGTATCGTTAGCCTCTTCAGAAGTGAGAATGAAAGTGTTGTTCCCTGGCAGGTGAAGCATGTTCTTTTACATAGAGTTCTTCCCTAACGACAGTATGTAGTTTTCCAGGATCAGTGTTTGTTCCCTGGAGAGAAAGCCCAGGAGGCCAAACCAGTCCAAGTCCAAGCAGTTGCAAGTTGCTGTCTTTCTTATCTCAGCAGTGAATGTCCTCAAGATTTCATATCCACAGTTACCTCCCCAATATTTCTGTCCACATGCTGATTTCTTCTCTTATTTTTGCCTGTTCTTTGCTGTTTATGTATAATTTTACATAATAAAAAGTTATGCCCAACTTTTGTCTTATAAATAATCTGTTCTTTAGAGATTTTACCTGCCTTCTGTTTATTTTTCTATGAGTAGGTGACATTGTTCAGTAACTGTTCAGTGTTATCTACGGTTCCATGCATCATTTAACCCATTTCAGCTTGGCCTCATCTTAAGCTGTTATACCAGAATAGAAAAGTTATTTGGCCGTTGAAAATCCAGGGCTCTAGTGTGGGTTTTTTAGGTACTGGGGACCGAACTTGGGACCTTGCACTTGGAAGGCAGGCGCCAGAACCACTGAGCTAAATCCCCGGCCCAGAAAATTTATTTTATTTTTTTTTGGTACCGGGGATCAAACTCGGGTCCTTGCACTTGCAAGGCAGGCAAGAGAACCACTGAGCTAAATCCCCGGCCCCTCTAGTGTTTTAACATTAGCTTCATAAGGGCAGAAATTTTATGTCCGCCTTTATATCCCTAGTACTTAAAAATGTACCTATCACATAGCATGCAGTTAATAAATATTTACCGAGTGGATGAGTGAAGTTTGATGTTGTTCTCTAATGTTTTCTAAATGAAGTGAATGGGTTCCATTTTCATTTTTTTGGTTTAGTGTCACATTTGAAGAGGAACACTGAGGATGAGGAATCAATTGAAACAAATGAATATGTTGGAAATCAAGACTATAAGTGGCCCAAAGTGGAAGGTCTTCACAAGGATCATAAGCAAGAATCAAAGATTGGTGAAGTTTGTGATTGGAATAGCAAGGTGGAGAATCCATTGGAAGAGTCCAAGGGGAAAAGAATGAAGGGAGACCTAAGTGGCACTGTGGAAAAGATTGGCAAAACTGAGAACATGGCAAATATAAAGACAGAACAGGAAGATGAGGCATCTGAGAAAAGCTTACACTTGAGGTCAAAGCCTGTTACCCACCAGACTACTCCTACAGAACAGAAAAGCAATGAACAAAGCAATTGCGTGGAGAACATTAATGGAAACTCTTACAGCAGTCTACAGCAGAAAACCAGTGCTGTTAAGAAATCACATAAATGTGATGAGTGTGGGAAGTCCTTCAAATATAACTCCCGTCTTGTTCAACATAAAATTATGCACACTGGAGAAAAACGCTATGAGTGTGATGACTGTGGAGGGACTTTCCGAAGTAGCTCCAGCCTGCGAGTCCACAAGCGCATCCATACTGGAGAGAAGCCGTACAAGTGTGATGAGTGTGGGAAAGCTTACATGTCCTATTCCAGCCTTATAAACCACAAAAGCACCCATTCTGGGGAGAAAAACTGTAAATGTGATGAGTGTGGGAAATCTTTCAATTATAGCTCTGTTCTGGACCAGCATAAAAGGATCCACACTGGAGAAAAGCCCTATGAGTGTGGTGAGTGTGGGAAGGCCTTCAGAAATAGTTCTGGTCTCCGAGTCCACAAAAGGATCCACACAGGGGAGAAACCTTATGAATGTGACATCTGTGGGAAAACTTTTAGTAACAGCTCTGGTCTGAGGGTCCACAAAAGGATTCATACAGGTGAGAAGCCCTATGAATGTGATGAGTGTGGGAAGGCCTTTATTACTTGCAGGACACTTCTAAACCATAAAAGCATCCACTTTGGAGATAAACCGTATAAATGTGATGAGTGTGAGAAATCCTTTAATTATAGTTCTCTCCTCATTCAGCATAAAGTCATCCACACTGGAGAGAAACCTTATGAATGTGATGAATGTGGCAAGGCCTTCAGGAACAGCTCGGGCCTCATAGTGCATAAAAGGATTCATACAGGAGAAAAACCTTATAAATGTGATGTCTGTGGCAAAGCATTCAGCTATAGCTCAGGCCTTGCCGTTCATAAGAGCATTCACCCAGGGAAGAAAGCTCATGAATGTAAGGAGTGTGGCAAATCCTTTAGTTATAACTCCCTTCTTCTTCAACATAAAACTATTCATACTGGAGAGAGACCTTATGTATGTGATGTGTGTGGGAAAACTTTCAGAAACAATTCAGGCCTCAAAGTCCACCGGAGACTTCATACTGGGGAAAAACCATACAAGTGTGATGTGTGTGGGAAAGCCTATATCTCACGCTCTAGCCTTAAAAATCACAAAGGTATCCATCTTGGAGAAAAACCCTATAAATGCAGCTATTGTGAGAAGTCCTTCAACTACAGCTCTGCCCTTGAACAGCATAAAAGGATTCATACTAGGGAGAAACCCTTTGGGTGTGATGAGTGTGGAAAAGCCTTCAGAAACAATTCAGGCCTTAAAGTACATAAACGAATCCACACTGGGGAGAGACCTTACAAATGTGAAGAATGTGGGAAAGCATACATCTCACTCTCAAGCCTTATAAATCATAAAAGTGTACACCCTGGGGAGAAGCCCTTTAAGTGTGATGAGTGTGAAAAAGCCTTCATCACATACCGAACCCTTATAAATCACAAAAAAATTCATCTTGGAGAGAAGCCCTACAAATGTGATATGTGTGAGAAATCTTTTAATTACACTTCACTTCTTTCTCAACACAAAAGAGTACACACTAGAGAGAAACCCTATGAATGTGACAGATGTGAAAAGGTCTTCAGAAACAACTCAAGCCTTAAAGTTCATAAAAGAATACATACTGGGGAGAAGCCCTATGAATGTGATGTGTGTGGAAAAGCCTACATCTCACACTCAAGCCTTATTAATCATAAAAGTACCCACCCTGGCAAGACACCCTATACATGTGATGAATGTGGTAAGGCTTTTTTTTCAAACAGAACTCTCATAAGCCATAAAAGAGTCCATCTTGGGGAGAAACCCTTTAAGTGTGTTGAGTGTGGGAAATCTTTCAGTTACAGCTCTCTCCTTTCTCAGCACAAGAGGATCCATACAGGGGAGAAACCCTATGTATGTGATAGGTGTGGGAAGGCATTCAGGAACAGCTCAGGCCTCACAGTGCATAAAAGGATCCACACAGGTGAAAAACCCTATGGATGTGATGAGTGTGGGAAGGCATACATCTCACATTCAAGTCTTATCAACCATAAAAGCATTCACAGTGGGAAGCAGCCCTATAATTGTGAGTGTGGAAAGTCCTTCAATTATAGATCAGTCCTTGACCAGCATAAGAGGATCCACACTGGAAAGAAGCCATACCGATGTAATGAGTGTGGGAAAGCATTTAATATCAGATCAAATCTCACTAAGCATAGAAGAATCCATACTGGAGAAGAATCTTTAAATGTGACAAATGTGGAGAGTCATCAGTGTAGCACATCCCAGATGAGGATCTACGAGGGAGGGATTGCTTTGGCTGGGACCAGGATGAGGATGCCTCTGTGGGAGGCAGAGCTTACCAAGTCTCAAAGAACTCATATGGAAGAGAAACCATATGAATGTAAGAATTTCTGAGGTCCTTATTCACAGCTTATAATTTTCATAGTATCAATGAAACCATTCTAGATATAAGTAACTTTCTGTGATTTTTCACTCGGCCAGTAAGGAAGGGTCCAGTGTCAAGATAGTTGAGCCCTTTTGGAATATAAAATAGTCCTCAATGGGAATTTAAAGTATCAAAGCAGTGGAATATTTTTAAATTCTAAAAATGAGCAGATATTTTTTAACCTAAAATTTGCATATGAAGAAAGGACTCCCAACTAGAAATCACAGTCACCTTCAGATAGTTCATACTTGAGTACATTTTGTGAGTAGAAATGGAGGTAATTCAGGTGTATCTTTGAATCCCAATTGTATCTTGGTCAGTAGAAAAAAAATCTAAGAAGGGCCTCAAGGCAACAGGCAAATTCAGGGAGAGATAGGCTTCAGGGAATAGAAATTTATTTACTAGTGAACATGAGTTATACACAATGTAATTGAATGGTTTAGGGGAGGTGGATAACCACTTCTGAAACAGAATTTGGATTTCCTTGTAGGAAAAGTAAAAAAGCTTAGACTATTATAAATCTAACCTGAAGTAAGAGAGAGTCACTTATTAAAAATGCAAATTGAATGTACTATGCTAATACTCCAGTTGAATGGGTGAGACTTTTAAAGTTTCAAATGAACTCCTTCAATGAATGATGAATGTGTGATAAATGAAAACTTAGTATTCATACATTACAATAAACCAGTATGTCATGGAGGGAATTTTGGCACCTGTAATAGTTAATGGAACACATCTTCAACATGAATTTGCACCTTACAGAAAGAATTGATTCAGGGATTCCAATGAGTGGGAATGCTGTGGAGGACAGCATTTTATTACAAGAGTTAAAATGCTAAGTAGCTACCAATAATTGAGAGAGATTAGGAAATCTGTGTTTTTTTATTCTTCTGTTAAGTGTTTGTTTTGGAATTTGTTGTAAAGATTTCATGCACACATATGTACTGTATATTGTTTGTCGTAAAATATGAATACTTTGTTCAGGGCTCACTCTGTCATAAAGGCCAGATAAGGTGGCAAAGTAAGGTGGAACTCCAATAAAGAAATTCTTCACATGTAAACAGGCTGTGACTTGCTTTAGATGGAGCAATCTACAGAGCCGTTTGTGTGCCATATCTGTATGGAGTTAGTTATACCAGATCCATACCAGAGAGGGCAGCAGGAAGCACATCCCACAGGGGTAGTAGCACAGGTTTCACCAAAAGTTAGGTGATGCCTCCAATAGAACCACAGATGTATTTTGAGGGGACCAAAGGTAAGCACTGTGATAGTCTTAATGGGAGTGGGCAGATCATATGAAGGATTGGTCACGAAAAAATTTCTCAGGAACACATAGAATTTAACATGAGATATTGTTAGCTATGTAGAAGTGTTATCTAGGTAACTCAGATGCTTTAAGTAGACTCTCCTGAGTTAAGTAACCTGTCCAGGACTACTGAAGCTGGGACTTATCAATAGAGGGTGAACTATAGGTCTGGTCTCTGGCTTCAGAATCTGTCTTCAAGAGAACAATCTAGTTTCCTATCTCTAAGATTCCTATCATCAGGTAGTGTCCATGCCTCTAGGAATACAAAAGAGTACTTTGTTTCTAACCCCCACCACTAGGTTTTGGTGGATGGGGTGAGGACAGGGAGAGACAAAGTATGTCTGCCATTCAGTGCCAGTTGGGAAAGTCATAATCCCATTTACTGTATGTCCCCCTCTGCATGTAACATTGGCAAACAACTGTATCCATGGACTTAAATAAAAGTCTTCAGCAAATACTTGAGATTCTTCTATACATGATCCATTGTCGGAAGCACTGTACAGGGACAGAATGAAAGCAGTAATACCTGGTAGTTAAAGAGAAAGATGGCATGCAAAACCCACTCTAGTAGATGTGTGAACTGACCTCGGTAGGTGTTCAGAGGAAAGTGACGATAGCCAACCAAGAGAGGAATGGGTTTCAGAGACATTGAATTGTGTTTTGAGAGAGAAGTGGGAAATATTATGTCCTGGTGAAGGACAATAGCACACATGTTAAGGTGTTCTCCAGAGTAACTTCTCTGGCAAGGCTGGTGTCGGCAGAAATGAAGAGGATGCAGAGTAGCGATTCTTAGTGGTTGGAGCACAGATTGGTCTTCTATTTGTTCAAAATGAGAGCATCTCTGATTTTTGCTAAATAATCATATTACCTGAGGTTTCCATGTACCCTTGTGTCTAGAGCAGTCAGTATGCCTATGGCCAAAAGCCCTACCCCTTCCTTTACACATGTCCCTACCCCTACTTGAACTCCAACTGTACCTATTGCCCGCTCATTGAGAAAAAGACACATTAAGTATTAGGTTCACCACCTTTGAGATAGAGATTGCAAGCCCTCCAGTGTACTAAATGCTGGGGATATGCCCCTACTACAGACATTCCTCATTTAATGACTGAGTTCCAGTCCTAACTAGGTCGTTAATGATTGGTCACTAAATGAATTGCATGTAGTATGTACATTAAAATATTCAGAACAAAAGAAATTCCAACTTGATGACTTTACTTTTATTTGCAAAACTCTTACATGTACTAATATATAACAACATTAAACTATAATACTGTATAATACAATTACAGTACTATATAAACAAGTTGTACTGTACCAAAAAAAAAGACATTGAGGCTTTAGAAACAAGATGTACAGAACTATACCAAAAAAAAAAAAAGGATGTAAGTCTGAGCAGTGGGTTGTGAGTCCAAACATCCTGCTTCAATTGTGTTTTGGGTTGTTTTGGGGTTTTTTTGGTTTTTGTTTTTTATTTTTGGTACCAAGGATCAAACTCAGGACTTTGCGCTTGCGAGGCAGGCAGTGGCACCACTGAGCTAAATCCCGGCTCAATTGTGTTTTGTTTTTGAGATAGGGTCTCACTAGGTAGTTCTGGCTGGCCATGAACTCACCATGTAGCCTGGGTTGGCCTTGAACTCATGGCAATCCTCCTGCCTCAGCCTCTGGAGAGCTGATTACAGGCTTGAGTCACTACACCTGCCTGCACCTCAGCTGTAAATCTGAACAGTTGTTAACCAGGTGGGATGTTAAATGGGGAACATTTGTATGGCCCTCATCTATTCACACTCTAGAAATGGTTCTCTTGGCCCCAGTCTTGAGCATAGGTAGGTCCAGATAGGGTGCTGCTCAAGGCGATTCCAGATGTATCCACATCTTCTGGTCTGTCTTCTCCCAAGTGAGCTTGTAGTGCAAATACAATGAGCCAGCGTGGGGGAGCCTCCACCAGCCAATCCAGAGGTGTGAATTAGTTGAAGACCATCTTTACCCTTTCCAGAGAAGATGGGGGTGGGGGCAGAATTGCCCAAGTTTCTAATTCACAGGACTGAAGAGTGAATTTAAATGTTAGACGGTAGGGAAATTGCAAGCTGGAAGGTCTACATAAAAGTGGGAAAGTGTTTATATTTGGGAAAATAGCCAAGATGTTTAGATTTTATAATCAAATATGTATGGGAAACTCAGGCAAATTTTAAAGGATAAAAATAAAGTACATAAATATAAAAATCTGGAATGAAAAAGAGTGGAATATTAGTTTCTGGTAAAAATAGGCTAGGTTATTTGGTTTAATTTCTCGCCTAAAACAATGAAGAAGACTGCTTTTTTTTGTTGTTTTTGGTACTGGGGATTGAACTCAGGCCCTTGTGCTTGGGAGGGAGGTGGCGGCACCACTGAGCTACATCCCCACCCCTAAGATTGCTTTTTTTAAAGATAGGTAGTATGCTGTCTATCTTAGTCCATTCAGGTTGCTATAACAAAATGTAAATTAGGTAGCTTATAAACAACATATTTGTCATAGTTCTAGAAACTAGCAAATTTAAGGTGCCCTCAGGTTTCATGTCTGGTGAGAAGCCACTCCTGGCTCATAGATAGGACCTTCTCAGTACATCTTTACCTGATGGAGGGGTCTCGGCCCTCCTGTCTAAGGGCACTAATTCCAGTCATGAGTGCTCCACCCTCATAACTTTTATCACTTCCAAAGATGCCACCTCCTAATATCATCACATTGGTGATTAAGTTTCAAGATGAATGGGAGGGAGCATTTAGAACATGGCACCCTACCTCTCCCTCAAGAGAATGTTGAGGCTGAAAAGACAATGTATGACAGTTTTAAAATGAGATACTATAATTAAAGAGGTGAACACCACAGCTCATGCTGTATACTGCAGAGGCTACTCAATGTGTGAGAGAAGTTCAGTCAGGTAATAGTGATGAATCTTTCCCTTTAGAAGTTAAGTAGAAAAAATAATAAAAATAAATAAATAAATAAATAAATAAATAAATAAATAAATAAAAGTTGGCTTCCCAAAGTGCTACACCTTCAGGATAAGATCAGATCTAAACAGCTCCCCCTTCCTCAAATATAGAGACATGGCTTCTCAATGAGCAGAGCAATAAAAGAAAGTATCCCTGGCCCAGCCTTTACTTGGGTCTAGGTAAACATAACTTGAGACCTGGCAGATGGAAAAAAAAAAAAAAAGACTCTGCAGTCTTAACTCAGGTAACATAAATCATTTCTACAGGCAATATTCATCAAGCAGTCAAAAATGATCAGGTATATAGAAAAAAGATAACATAAGTGAAAAAAACAGCAGAAGAAACAACTGCAGACTTGCTATATTGAATTATCAGGTATATTTGTGAAAATATCTGTACTTAAAGGATGGAAATCATGCAGACTTGTTCTCTTACTATGCAGTGAAATTAGAGGTTAATAATAAAGATACCCAGGACATTGTCATTATATTCAGAAAGGGACAATTACATTCTAAATCATGGTTCAAAGAAGAAAATATTTTAAACAACGATAATGAAATACTGAATATCAAAACCAATGGGATGTTGCTTAAGCACTGCTTAGAAATTTTTTTTTTTAATTTAAAAAATTTTATTTCACTAAAAGAAACATTGCCATTAATTCCCCTTAATATACTCCCCCTTGCTTCAAAAACACTTATCCCATTATTCTTGCTACTTTCTTTTTTCCCCAAGTCTTATTTTTATCGGCACGTATTTACAGTACACAGTGATTATGTTCTTCATGGGGAACAATGCTTAGAAATTTATAACCTAAAAAATTTTAGAAAATCAGAAGATCTAGTAATTACTTAAGCACCATTTCAAGAAGTTAAGACAATTAAATCCCCAAAAAGTTAAAGGAAGTAATTAAGAGCAGAAATTAATGAAATTAAAAAGTACAATATGGAGGATTAACAATTCTATGTGTGCTTCTTTTGTTTTGGAAGACTACATACTTGAGAGGCCTCTAGTGATATTGATCAACAAAAAGAAAAAAAGCCAAAAATTGTAGCAATGTTAAATTTTCTTCTCTAAACATATACTGACCTCACTCTGGTATTGAAAGAATAACCCACTTTAAACTTCTTGAGTCAACATTTCTAAGAACAGCATGTAACACACCAAGATAAGTCAAAACAGCTCATTTTGGTAAGATTTCAACACCCATAACCCCCTAAAGCTCACCAAATTGCAACAGGCAATGTTCCTTTTATTTTTTTCTCCTATAATACTCATTTCACATGCTTCGAAAAACATTTCCTTTGAGAACTTTCCCTTCTGCAACTGTTTGAATAAAGTACCCATTGTCTTGGCATTTAAATGTCAGAAAATTTCTGAAGTTTGATGTTATAAAATGCTATAAACATGAAAACCATAAGAAATTACATTACAGTTTTATGATAATAAATTAGAAATTTTATATGAGAACATTCCTAGAAAAATATAATGTACCAAAATGTACTAAAGGTCTCACATCTTGTGGATGAGGACAATACAGGAAAGATCATGGAGTGAGTTCATTCTCCACTGAATTCTTAAGGAGAAGCAGTAAGCAGTTTGTGTGAAACCTGTACAGAGAAAAAAACAAGTATAGTAGCTAAGAATATGGTCCCTCCACCATGCAGCCTCTAAATAAGGACTCTTTCATTTATACCCAGATGACCTTAGGGAGGGAACTATACCTGTTTTTATGCTTGTGTGTCCTCACCTATTTTCTGTTTTTTGTTTTGCAGTACTGGGGATTAAACCCAGGGCCTTCATGCGGGGCTGCATTCATTTTCTTCATCTTTTATTTTAAGACAAGTTCTGACTAAATTGCTAAGTTGCCCAGACTGAGTTCAAATTTGCAGTCCTCCTGCCTTAGCTTCCCAGAGCGCTGATATTACAGATGTATGCCACCACACCTGACTCTTACCTGTCTTTTGGCAGGACCTCGTAGGTTGTAGAAATTGGAAAAGTATTATTAGGGCCCTAATCGTGCCTGGAATGAGCAGTATCTTTATAAGGAAGAACCAAGGAAGTTGGGCTGCACGGTAGCTCCTATCCAAGGATTTTAACATCTAGTCAATTCAGTCAGTAGAAGACAATTTCTATCCAAAAATCAAGAAAATCTGTCAAGGATCTCCCCAATACATATTGCTAAGAGGTGTGAGGAAAATGACTTTTTGGATGTGGTTTCTCAACAGTATTATGCTTCTAAGGAGATAATTTTGTTTCTAAGCAAATATGCTTTGTGTTTGTTATGGGCCAGCAGGAAGAGCCACCAGCTCAAGTCCAGTGACCAAAAGTGGTTGGGCGAGATAAAGGCTGCTATGTGCTTGTTTCTCTAGCCTATGCAGCCTACCCACTTCTGCACTCTACCACCACTATTGTGTTTTCTTGGCAATTCTCAGATATGCTGGAGATTATGCAGGAAGAGTTGTTGAAAGTCAAGCTTCTACCTTCTGAACCATGGCTATTTTTAGAGAATGTCCCCTTAAGATATAAATTCTAAAAGGATAAGAGGAGGTTCTAGGGTGGTTAGAGTGAAGCCCTGGAGAGAGGCAGGCCAAGTTCCTCTGGTCTTGGATGCAAACTTTAGGACCATATTCAGTCAATAAAATAATTATGAGTTTGTTTTTAGTCCTGTCTACAGATTTCTCATCTGTAAAATAATATAAAAGATCTACCCCTAAAGTTACTTTAAAGATTAGATTTAAAAGATCCTGTATTTTATAAAAACTCTGTACAAACATTATTTTTAATTGCCTAATGCTCTGTCTTATTTTTAAAAGTTGAAGGAGGGAAATGCAAATCAAGACTACATTGAGATTCTATCTTATCCCAATCAGAATGGCTATCATCAAGAATACAATAAACAGTAGGGGAAAGGAAAGAAAGGAATGGAATTAATATGAGAAAATGAAAAAATGGAAGCAAAGTCTTTGTAAATAAGGAGGGATGAAGGGGTTGAAGGGAGGGCAGGGGAATGGGGAAAA